TGTTAACGGCACGGCTGTTGCTCGTAACTCGCTGCAATTTTACATGTCCAGTGACCATATGTTCATCCAGTCAGGGTGAATGAAACAAACTGTCACCAATCATTGTGCAATTCGCTGTACCTATCGATTACATGACCCACGCGAAAACATCAGCTGCATTCTGGTGATGTAATCGGCAGTTTTTAGCGTTCACCGTCTGACACAGCGAAATCACAGAAACGTTCGTAGATAGTGTCAACAACAGGACTCCCCTGACGTAACCTCAGCTGTAGAAAAATCACCACCTCGCATAGTCAACTTCTGAACCTTATAAGTGACCACGCGTTGTGCGGGCGCAGGTATACGACGTATACCTGGTTGAACATTTGGCTGTTCCAATAGCCATGGCCTGCCATCGTTGGAACAATTGACGCGGCACCCCAATAACCATGTCTGTTGTCCGCAAACGACATTAGACTCATACTGTATTAGGTTCCACACAATCCTGACGCGAAAACAATTTCATATATCTTGTGTTTTATTTAGCCTGAAGGTGACATGCCGAAAAAAGGCTTGTTCGTCACGTTTTGACTTCGGATAAAATCTCCACTTATATTTAAACACGTTTATTATTATTGGTCGATGGCTTGCTTAGTCGTGTTAGATTAGGTGACATCTGCCTTATGTTGGTAATGTTGATTTGTGACCGAAGGATTCTGCCCATTTTTCAAGCTGTTCATCGTGATCTGACTGACTGCGTTGTGCCGTTCATAGTACTTGACCTCAGAAAATTACCACATCGCTGTTCATTCATCAGGTTGCCAGAATATTAGTGGATGTGACTGCCTTCTGATTGGCTATCTTTGTGTACTCTAATCAACCATCCGTTTCAGTCATCGGTACATCTCTCTTACTGCTGGTCCATCAGTAATGTTCATTCAGTATCTTCTATCAAAGCTAGTATGAATAACCTCTGGTGAATCTCGTATGTCCCCAATCGAACCCGTTTCCTTTAGGTAATGCCGCTTCATATGAGCCTGGCTTCGGTTATGCACACTCGTGCATACTATAACGTCGTACTCCCCCCTCCTTCTCATCTTTCAGCAATACCTTTCCTCCAGGGTTTATTAATCTAAGGTACGGGCTACAGTCACGCTCTTGGCTCAGTCGTAAATGGGATAACTTTCTTCTCTCACAATCACGACAACACTTCTGTTAGAATACTTGTTTCCGCAGGTGAACGTGCAGTGGGGTTAGTGAATTTGCTTCTTTTGGTGTAGAGCTGTTGTTATGGAATGTATCGTTCTAGTTCTTCTACTAAATAAACGTTATACTGGACCAGTTTCAACCTTCTGGGACAGCTTGTTTATTATATCTGCCAGTATAGGACAGGAACCTCTTACGTGCTCCTGGTAATGCATACCGATCACCTCGTTTAGTTGAACGACGTCTATGTCCTTCGATTCGAACACTCGTGGTACTGAATGACAAATCGATTCAAGAACCCTTCTTTTGACTTCGCTTACAACGTCGAAACCCGAATTTCGCAATATTCCGTAATGAGTAAATAAGTCCTGTAGCCTACTCGCGGCGGGTTGCGTGTCAGTTGTGTCTGGCGGAACAGTCTCAGAGAGGTCATTGCAATACATCATGCTATCAGGTGGTATTTTTATCGTGAATAATCATATTGGTCATTACTTCCTGTCAAGTGGTTCCTGATACTGTGTGTATCTGCATTCATCATTTTATTTGTTTGGTGTCAAACCTTCGGCAAACCAGACGGTTAATTGTGATCAAATACTGACTAGGCATACTAAGCCAGAACAACGAGTATGGGGTATTTTTGATACCATTACTTCCATCTAACTGTGCATAATAAATGTATTTCAGTTTAGAAATTTGCAGTGTCTTTGAAGACAAATCCCTGTTTCTCTTAAAAATTGGTACATCCTGAACATTTGATCTATTTCGAGTATTAAAACTTGATTGTTCCTTTAGTGAAGACTTTCTTTCTTCAGGCTGTTTGTATGGGAGTACATTCTGATGTACGATGCAGTTTGTGCCTTCTACCATATGACGTTTCATCAGCTAGTGATCTCAGCGACAGCAAGTCGTGCAAAACAACCGACGTTAAATTGTAGCTAAACTCCGTCGATGTCTTGGTGATAGGCTGTCAAAAGAATGTCAACAGTGTTTGTTCTTCATCATAGTTGATGAATATCCTTTACACCTTATTTTGCAGTCAAATAAGCAGTCGTTGTCGAAGTCGAAGTTGTGCACCATATACACTGAGAACTTGTGAACCGCGGATAGTATGGTTCCCCTTCCGAAACAGCAACCATTGAAATCTTTAACTTTGTTAAATGATGTGAACGTCAGTATGTCCGTGATCAATTTTGAGTCTCTAGCGGCTAATATCTTACGCTTTACCACCAGACCCCACTTTGCTGGTCAAGTTTTCAGCTGGTAACTTTATATCTGTCACTCATGTTAAAAACGGCTCAAGTTATTGTCTATCCTGTTTAGCTGACCGACTGCCTTCACGCCATTCGGAACAGACATCTCTTTGATTGCCTTTGTTCGTTTTGTGTAGCATATTTTAACGACAAAAAATACTTCCGAATTATGAATCTCTACTCTCTTACGCTTCAGGTGAAATCTCTTCAATGAACAGCACTGGATAAATCGGCGAGGGTTTGTTTGTAACTTTGCGATACCATATCTTAGAGTAGCGCGTCGTCCGTTATGCAGATAACACCAAGTAAATCGTCAAACCTCTTAAACAACTGTTTTCGAAACGCTCGGTTCTATACTAAACAGCAGACTTCGCCGAACCTACTGCCCAGAGAAAGAGCTATACATTTTAGCCAACTCGATTCAACGTCCAACACTTGTCAAAAGTCTGAAGGCAGTTTTCTTGAATTAACTTGTCATTAAAAGTTCCAGCAGTGTCATTCAGTGCCCGGACGCATTAGCTTCTCTTCAAAGCAAAGCACATAAAGTTTTAAATCTATGGATGCCAGTGTACAGTCTGTTACCTTTTTAGTCAAAACAGAGAGAAGACACATATCACGAGATGTTAACATCTCGATTTACTCTCATCAGTCGCCAACGTAAAACTAGCAATTTTTTATACAGACTGCGCATAGCAACAACAATTGAACGAACCAACCACATAGTTCTGACCTTTCACCTTCTAATAGTTCAATCAATTCCACGGCAAGGAGATTGACTGCCTCAGCGCCTTCTGCGCACACAAAACTGGCCGATGTTGTTTGATGAGCATTGCCTCGCTGATCGCTAACAGTTTCGGGTTGCGATTATGTAACAATATCTTGAACGATTTAACAGGGTCAACTAGGTGACCGGTTGCTAAAATGTGTTTGGCGATCGATGAAGCTTGGGCCTTCGAGCTTGTTACCGTCAGTAGGTCGTTTTTTGAGATTGCCATTGATAACCACTTAGGAATGTGCTCAGCTATACGTTGATGCAAACGCCGATCTGTCCTGCTTATGTCTTCTCTCTGTTTTGACTAAATGGATTAAGGGAACTCAGTGTTTTAAATGTTACCCTTTTGCTCTCTTGTTACATACTACTCTTCATACTGGTTACGTTCATTGTACATATAAACTACTTGTCCATAGTTTGAATCAATACACACTTTGTCCTCGCGCGCCTCGGCTTCTGCTTAAACTTGGTTGTTGTTGCCAGGAGTAAACGGTCGATTTTCGTACGCTGGAAGAAGGGAATTTGCCAGAATTTCTGTTATTCAAAAGGACCGTTCTTCCAACATGCAGCGGACTTAGTGTGGTGGAATTTGTCGTGAACAGTTACCGTAGATTGTTTTGTAACGCTGTCGATTCACTTCTTGGTTTCACTGCACCAGTAAATCGCAGCATTTCTTACTAGCTGATGCAGTCTGGATGTCCCACTCGATCGGCTGTTCATCTTCAGTGACAATGTAGAGTAACAGCAAACACTTCACTTCTTTGACGAACTTCTCTCATAAACGAAACGGAAATTTCCTATCCAGTAATATAAGTATCGTGTGTCGCGTCTGGCAAAAGATGCGCATAACCACTGAATTCGCCCAATTCAGCTTTAATGACATGTAAGCATGTACATGGTGATTTGATAAATACAAGCAGCTGAACCAAAGTGAACATATCCTAACAATTGGTCATCGCACAGTCTGAAAAATGACACCAGGTTTTCCTTAGTAAGGACAACTTTCGTTGCTCCGTTTGTTTAGGTTCATCATATCTTTTGGGATCACATCTTTCTATTATAGTCAGGATGCAGTCCTCTCTCCAAGGTCAACCAAGTTATAATTAACCACGGCCTGATCACAAAACTAATCAATAGGATGTTGTCAGTATCGTTTGAGCCAAGTTAGAAATTCACTGCCTAAGCGTTGACGATCAGGTTGTGTGTGATTTATCCTGGTGCGTTGATAACAGAACGCATGACTACATACCTATCCGCCGGGAACGCATCTACCAGGTAGGCGTGAATACGAAGTAGAAGTCCACAAATGTGCTAGTCAGAGAAACGAACGGATGCGCACGGCCTGATTGACCGAAGCATGCATAGCCACCTGGTGACTAAGCCCGGCTTGTCTGTTGTTGACCCATACTCCACATTCTCTGCGTACTGGGCGCGTGCATGCGCAACGCTCTCCTTTCTGCGTGACATAGTGAGCCGGAAGCCATTATTTTGCATGCCGGAGGGTGCTCTCAAACTGGCAGAGGATCGGGGGGCGGAAAACCAATCAGCTCATCCATTAGATCTGATGGGATTATGGGCAAGCTCAGACAATGAATAAGAGGTACATGGTTCATCCAGATCCGATAGGATTCTTGTTTAGGTAAACAGCCGCGATCCAACTGGCAGCAGCAATCAGGACGCACTGGTATTGTACTCTCGTGTCTTGGTAAACGATACGTTCGATAGGATTAACCAGTGATTGATAAGTAGTTTGACAGATTTGATAAGTTGGAAGACTCTATTGCGGAAAATTTGAACTTCGGCTGGATTCGAACAAGCGACAGAAACGGCATGTCCAAATGCGGAGAGCGCTCTACCAGCTGAGCTACGAAGCCACGCCGTGTAAAGAGTTTGAACTGTAAAACGCATCGATACAAAGTCAACCAGGGATTCGCAGAAAACTACGGCCAATCAGTGTCGACAACGCGAGCAGAATGGTAAGTTAGCGCGGGGACCAATCAGGATAGCACGTTGCTCCAGCATCGGATTTCGTTATAACGAACATCCGGTTAAAACAAGTTGTTTAAGTGCATCACGCGGTAAAACAAACGAGCTACAAGCGGAGTGGAGCTGACCAATGGAAAAGCTGAAGCGTCAACACCAACTGTATTTCTTCATTTTACTGATGCTTCTTGTCTACAAAATAACCAATAAAACTCAATAAACCGAGATTTGCTTTGTGCCACGAAGACTGGTTTTGCTTTCATTCCGGGAGGCAGCGATTTTTCAACGCCCCAGAAGCTCAAAATTCTCACATTTGAACCCCGTTACCCACCCAACCAACTGTGTCATATAAAATCTACAA